ACGGTCGTGTACGGCTCGTTTACGATCGTCGTAATGATCGACCTGGGTTGGCTTCATTTATCAACGAACATCAAAAATAAAAATTCCGTTATATTCACAAGCTTTTGTAGCAGCAAGAGCAAAATATTTTCAAGCTCTCGAAAAATTAAGAGAAGCAAACGTTCATTTGTATTATCACGATGAAACGTGGTTGAACCTTCGAGAGATCAAAAGATTAATTTGGACTTTAGAAGGCAAAGGAGAAATCAAAAAAGGGGGAGAAAGAGGTAAGTCGTGACGTCACTCATAAATCATTCTCTCACATATCATTACTTTTATCGTTTATAGGATCTCGTTTGGCGGCATCTGCACTTATAAGCGTCAAAGATTATCACATTCCATCAGTTGATAATTGGGCGTGCACTGAAGAGCATAATATGGATTCAACGCATTTTCTTTCGTGGTTAGATTCGACTTGTGCAACGCTAAGAGAGAAGATTGGTGAGTTAACCCATTCTGAGTCGAATTTTCCATGAATGATATCTCACACTTTTTTCATAGGTGAAAAGGAAAGAATTGCTGTTTGTTTGGACAACGCAACATGGCACAACAAACTCACAGAAGAATCAATCATTCCAAAGCGTTCTTCAACAAAAGGAGAAATTCAAAAATGGCTTCAAGATCGAAAAATTAATTTTCCAGAAAAATTTGTTAAAGCTCAATTGTTACAGCTTGTATGTACAAACTGTCCACGTAAAGAATATATGGTAAGTCACTTTTTTAAGCGCTGTTTTGAGTTTTTCGAACCTTGCTTTTCCTCTTTGTTTTGTTGAATAGAGCGATCGTATTGCAAAGAAATACGCTGTAAAAATCATTCGGCTTCCAAAACTACACTGTACGTTGCCTTAATCCAATTGAACTCTCATGGAATAATCTTAAACAGTTTGTTCCTGATCAAAATACAACATTTCGTCAAGGTGATGTAAAACAATCGATTGGACAGTTTATGGTGACAATGGATGATAAACTTGCAAGTTCATATTTTCATCATGTTGATGAAGTCGAAGAGATGTATAAAACAGCAGATGAAATAATGGAAGAAGAAATCGAACCATATTTACAATCTGACAGTGAAGAAACAGATTGTGATGACGGTGAGAAAAACGTAGAATTATAGTTCTTTTTGTATTTGTACTTTTTTCAAAATTCAGTTTATTTTC